TCTGGTATATGTAGCATCTCGAGGGAGCTCTTGTTAAACTCATTTGGGCCACTCGCAAGGCAACAAAGCAACGCAAAGACACCCTTCCATTAAATCACTCGCTCAGTTTGTTTGTTTATTGGCTCTGCCATTAGGGCAAATTATTCTCAGTTAATTGGTTTTTATAATTATACCACTGGATGTGCAGAAGACCAGCATTGTGGCACTCTAAAAAACACCCAGTGTGGAAATGGGACGGTTTAATGATCTAGATTATTTACATATTGTAGCCTGTTGCCGTTTCCCACTAGCCTTCCAGAATCAGTAAACCGTGACGTACATTTCTGGGAATAAAACTCTTGAATCATGATCTTTGGATGTCGGTGATCATGTGGTACATTTAGAACCAGTTTGATTAGCTGTGTACTACTGAATTGCTGTAGACAGCCTCCAATTGAATTAAACAAAGAAATTGTTACAAATCAAAGTGTTTTGTCACTCAGGATTTAGTTTTTTCTCTGGAAAAGGCATGTAAGAGAAGATCTATTGACATTTTCATTGAAATGACAGTGGGGTTTTAATAAAAAGAGACAGAGCGAGCCCCTCAGGAGGGACTCATTTAGCTCAAGCTTTATTCAGATGGGGGCGGTGGCTGATTAAGTCACAGACCAGCTAATATCCCTGATACAATCAATACCCGAGAACATTACAGGCGCCATAAGAAAGGCTATGCGTTATTTTCTCTCAGCGGCATTTTGTAAATGAGCCGGGGAACAGTGACGTAGTCTAATATTTGACGGCTTAAGTACTTTCAGTCAGTGCGATTACTGACTGTGTTAATTATTTGCCTTTATAGGCAAATAACAGAACTGAAGACATTTCTGTTAAGATTATTGTGTGGACTTAAAATAGTTACAGAATACAGTTTTCCTGTCTAAATAAATACATAGTCTTTCCCCAATTTATGCCATTGGTTGAGGCAAAGGCGCTGTTTTCTGCTAAATATAAATTCATAATTTAGTTCCCATCCACTTTTTTAGTAGTGTTGATTCTACCCAAAAGAGCAGGGGAATAAATAGCATACAGTATATACAGTATGATATTGAATTGCATTTGAAGAGTTTAGATGCAGAAATCTCTAAATGTCGTCCGAAATTTGTATTTTTATCAAGCTCCTGTGTGTATATTCAGTAATATTACTTTTATGGCAAAGAATTAGTCTTTTCCCTGATCTTTAAATTAAAATAACTCAACATAAACAAAGGAGGCTGAGAAAAATGTTCATTTTCGATGGAAATGTCAGACAGCACTTACAGGTTTTTGCATTTGAGCTCTTCTCTTATTCGATGAGTATTATATGACAAAAGTATTATTTAACAAAAACATAGGATTTCTTTGGCGGAAGCCCCATCCGTAGCTTAAATCGCAAGCTTGAAGGTCCTGCTATGACTGCCGAGGATGAATGCAGGGGCGGAGCCTACCCCCTGGACAGGGCCAACTTGGTGGTGGTGGGGAGAATGGTGGTTGAGGTCTGCATGAGTATCTGCAGCAATCAAATGAAGGAAATGAATGAATTGCTTATATATTCCTTGTGGTCCTGTGGCTGTTGTTTGGAACTAATTGTGATAAGTGACGTGACATTTGGTTTTCCTTGTGTCTCGTGGCTATTGGTTGGAACTGATTGTGATGAGTGATGTGACATTAGGTCTTCCTGGTTGAACTAGCACTAAACGCTACATTTCCAGATGCAGCTTTTTTTTTTTTCAAGTTTTGTAACTGTTGTGAGTTCTAAACCAAATCGACCAATCAAAATGAAGTGAAACACTTTGCAAACTGAACTAAATGAAGTAGAAGAAATATAAATATCTGGCAAAAAAAGACAAAGGATCCAGACTATGTATTGCACAGACAATGCCTTGGCACAGTAGTTTTAAAGATATTTTTGGTATGCTGTGGTGTAGTTATCTGTATAGCATCATGGGTAATGTAGTTTTTTTCAGTACAAATTTCAATATTACACTTTATTGACGTTTGTTTTAAAAATAGCTTGAAATAATATGAACAGATGAGTTCCAGAAAAACATATATCATTGATTACCAACCTCTGAATCCACAAGAGGTCTGTCTTTAAAGCTTTATTAGTTTTGTAAAAATCAATTTCCAAATGGAGAATATAAATGGAGCTTTTACTTCAGGAGCCAGACTGTTGCACTTTATTTGCCTGCAGTCAACACACTGCAAATTAAACTGAATTAGGACTTTTACATTGATAACAGGATCTGAGGCCATTCATGACTGTTGTAACTGGAGCTAACTGTAACTGGTTTACTCCACTGCCCTTTATAAGGTTTTAAAATAGACATCTGCATTGACTGATATTTTTAGCTAAAAATAAGAGGCTTAATACCTTGATAACAACTCTGCGTTTGCAGCTGTGCAACAATAAACGGAGTGTATTAAAAGAGAACTGGTATTTGGTTCCTGATAAAGTATTCAGATAGGTTTGACAAGCAGAGGGGTCTGTAATTGCAGTACGATCCCATAAATGTCACGATGGGTGATTCACAGAGGGAATGGCCAGTGTTTGGAAGATTCCATTCTGACCTGTTATGGGGTTCAGCACCTACCTGATCCTTCAGGACCATACATACACATGTAATATAATCAGAGTTTTTACAAGAGTGCAGTATACTCCACTGAGCCCCCTTAAATCCTAAATCTTGTGATAGAGACAGTTACTGCTGCAATCCCTGACATGGAATACTATGCAGAGATTTTTTTTGCACTTAAATAAATAAATCTGCATTTTTCTTAGGAACAAAATGCTTAATATATATATATTTTTGTGTGTGTGTGTGTGTAAGAACTCTCTGCATCTCTAATTAGGATTATTCTTCTGTATATTTACTTGTCATGGCAAAACACACTCTCTGTTTGTCATTTGTTAACATTACATTACAGTTATGCATTTGGCAGATGATTTTATCTAAAGCAGCTTACATTGCATTAAAAATACTCATTTTATTAGTTCTTGCTTTCGCTTGGAATCGAACCTAAAATCTTGGTGTTGCTAATGTCACGCTCAACTAGTAGGATAGTCCTGCCCCGAAACTCACACTGCTGCTACTCCAAGTGTTTAGGTGCTTATACTGTATCAAACAAAATTGTTATTTGTTGTATGTATATTAAACAAAAAAAACCAGAGGAAACAATTTTTTTTGCAATTATTTACTTAGAAAAACTCTTGCGGTGTAAAGCAAAAATTATTTTTCATGTTCAAGAACAAACCTCAGAACAGCATCCCATAAAAACAAATAATCCCCAAAACTGTGCCATAAGCTTTTTTTTTTTTTTTTCACCGTGTGACGTCACTTTCTACCCCATTTTGCTCAAATGACTTCAAATCAGCACATGCCGTTTGTGCTCCATTTGAGTTGGTTTGTGCTGTTAAAGCAAACACTTTTATTTGTTTTCTTTGTTTAGATATAAGCAAAGTATTTCGGGAGCCGTAACATCACTCTCCATCCTATTGGCTCTAAATTTCATATTTACCAAAATAGCTTGTGTGTTTTTCATTTGTGCTGAATTGTACTTATGAAAGACAATTTTTGCTTGTGATGCTTTGTTTTTTAGATATTAGAACAGCCTAGGCCAATATAGATTATTCTGAGATCTTTTTAAATGACCTGTGCTGATTTGAAGTGATTTGAGCAACATGTGGTGGAAAGTGACGTCACACGGTCAAAACAATAATGCTTAATATCTCAAACCAGCACAAACGTTTTTGCTGCATAAATCAGCACAAACATAGCTCAAACGAAAGGCATGGTTTTGGGGATTATTTGTTTTTATGGGTTTTCAACCTCACAGAGATCAAATACCTATATGATTTTGCAAAAAAAAATTCACTCACATTCCTTCAGCTTATTCCCTTCTTTATCAGGGGTTGCCAAAGTAAAATGAACCTTTACTGCAAACATGAAAATGACAATTACATAAATTCATTAATTTTCCTTTTGGCCTAGTCCCTTTATTAATCTGGGGTCACCACAGCAGAATGAACAGCCAACTTATCCAGAATATATTTTACGCCGCGGATGCCCATCCAGCCGCAACCCATCACTGGGAAACATCCATACACACTCATTTACACACACTCATACACTACGGTCAATTTAGCCTACCCAATTCACCTTGTGGGGGAAAACTGTGGGGGAAACCCAAGCACCCGGAGGAAACCCACGCAAACACGGGGAGAACATGCAAACTCCACACAGAAATGTCAACTAATCCAGACTAGGCTCAAATCAGCGACCTTCTTGCTGTGAGGCGAACGTGCTACCCACTGTGCCACCGCAAAATTAAGGATTTTTAATACAGTATTAATACTGTAACTGTGTTCTCAGCTGTCAGGATCATGCTTTTTTGGTCATAACATGTCATCTTGTTCAGCTGAGGATAATGAATGGCTCTGTATCAGACAGTGCTGTAAAGTACTGCTGGTAGTGGTGAGGAAGTAGTGAGCGAGAGTGCTCTTAGCAACAGGGCTCTAAAGAGGAGAGAGGGCGGCCCTGCTGCTCCATGTGTGAGTGTCCATCATCTTTACACACCAGGCCCTCTGCAGCAGCCAAGACTCCTGGGAAAGCGCTCACTGCACCCATGTCCTATTATAGCAGTGGCTGGCTGCAAAGTTAAGACTGGGGTGAGATTGCTTGACATCAGGGGTACATTCGAAAATGGAAAAGGGGAGGAGATGGCTCAAAAAATACCCCTCCTATTGTGACCCATTTATTACAACTTTTTACTAACATAAATGACAGCAGAGACTGTGCTGCTTATACATTTTTCATAACCGGGCTGATTAAGACTGGCCTTTCTTTTTATATTAAGCATAATTAAAAAATTGAATGGAAATAAAAATTCATGAAGGAAAAACTAATGGGCATGTTTAACTCATGAAATCCCAAGGAGGGCTCACATATCATCTGTTGACTTGTCGAAAGCACAGTTCAGCCAAAAGAAGTGGGTGACACTTGCTAGTGAAGCAACAAGCTATTTTTACACTGTGGGCTTATGTTCATCTGGATAGATACATGCTGTCTACCACAACAACAACCTCACAAGTGGATACATGTTAAGCTACAAGACAACAGGGATTTGTCTTTCTTTTTGGCATTAGAAATTTCACTTGTTCAGGTGTTTGACTATTAATACCTGGCATGGCACAACAGAATTACAGAATTTTTTTTCCATCTGCTGGACACTTGACACCACATGCTTATTCCAATATGTGAGCTGCCTCAAGCCATCGTCCCATGTTTCCAGCTCTATCGTCTCTGCTTGATTCCACTGCTGTTCCACTGTTGCTACTTTTAAAAATTTGCTTCAGGGGCTTTGTACTAAGTGGCCTTTACCTCAGCATTTGTCAGCTTAAGGAGAGCTCAGGAAACGAGTTGTTGCAGAGAAACTTTTTGATGCTGCTTGCCACAAATAGAATGCTGCGAATAAGGATTGGCTTCTTTTTGAAGCACAAGATCTACATTCTCCACTAAAAAATGAGATATAAGAGTAAAAGGTAAGAATAAACTCCAATGTTCACATTATTATATTATGGCTTATAGACATATGGAATTGAGTAATACAGAAAATGTTTTATGTATTATTATTTGTGTATACAGTAGGTTCCTTGATTTAAAAAAAAACCCTATATTTTAATCAGGAAATGAAATTTCTAAACAGGTTGAATAATTACCAAATTCAATCTAATTTTATCAGACATTTCCATTGCAATGAAGCCATGATTATTTTAAATTTATTTGTAATTGTGCCATAATAAAATATACTTATTGTGCTATAATAAAACATAAAGCGTATACTAAGTGCAACCTAATCTAAGCCTGTAATTTAGGAACATGTCATTTAAAATGGGAACCGAATTCTAATCTGAAACTTTGTTTAATGCTAATCTGAATATTAAGTGGTATAGACTAATTATAGAGACTTCATATATTTAGAATTGTCCCAATAGCTCTGATAAGTTAGGGAAGGTAGGGACAAGAGTAAATGTTATGTAAATTATAAAAATTTTGTCAAACAAATATCATATTTAATCTTAGTTTATTAAAAAAAATGTCAAAGAGCAATGCATGCCTTGCAAATATCAAATCATCAGGAGAATGTATTGTAACCTGCTTTCGGATTTGTAACCACAATAAATTTAGGGAAGGTGTTTAAAGGTATTCCCCAGCAATCAGCCAACAATTGAAAGTAAATTTGCATTATTTATTTATTTATTTACTATTATTATTTGCATCATTTATTATATATGCATTTGATTTTTTGCTTTAAAATGAACAGTTCTTGCTTTTAACAGTTAACTTCAAAAGAAACAAGCGGAAAAGTTACTACCAAACATAATGCTGGATGGTGATTCTTTAAACTTAATTAAGCATTGCAATTAGTTATTAGTGTGATATAATGTTAACAAATGAGAAAGATGCTAGACTGTAAAGCTAGTATTTTTTCAAAACTGTAATCGAATAGGACAATAAAAATTACTAACAAAAAATGTAACAACACAACAAAATCATAACAAAATGGAAGATAACTAATTTAAACTAATACAAAAATCTAAATTACACTAATTATTATACATTATACATTAATTATTATAATAATAAAAAATATAGATGCATTATAAAACAAAGCAACACAAGTTCCTAAAATGTAAAAATTAATAAAATAACAGTATTTGAATACTAAAACTGGTGTATTCAGGGAAAAAAAACATAATGCTGGAACCTAACAATTTACTATGCTACCAATACCATGTCAAGTCCATGTGCAGTGTGTTCCAAAAAAGACTTATTTTAGTGTTTAAGCAAGTGTTAAAGAATTCTAATATATGATCCTGTGTAAGAATGGGAAGCAGTTTCCTTCTCTAAATATAACTCACGTGATATGAATCTGCAGTATGCAAGGCAAAGGTGTGTGGCTCAACTCACAAATGATCAGATTTAAAGGTCAAAGATCTTTAAAGTGTTTGGATGTCATACTTAATAATAAATTGTGAATTGTTCACTAGACATCTGAATAACTCCCCAGGAGTAGTCTGATTTCCGAGAATTACCATGAACAGAAGGTTTGTGACATCTTTGCTACTTTGCTACTCTTGCAGGAAAGGACGGCATTTTGATCACCTTTTAGAAGGTGAACTACTTAAATGCAAGACACCCCGTGTCAGCCACCTCCAAGACTGACAGGGACAACTGCACCCTGTCCATGAGAGTAAGCACTTGAAATGAGCTTGCTGGAAAAGTGCCACACAGGCCAGCGGGGAAGCATGCAGGGCCACCGTAAATACTCTGATGGCTTCAGTGACACATCCAGCTGCGGCAGCTTTATGGATGACACGGACAGGGAGGTCAGCAACCTCACCGATCGTGCCTTCAGGAGCCTGTGCATTGGAGAAGAGGCCATTTACAATGACTCGGAATTCTCATCATCTCCTACTGAACGACATAAAGCATTTGCTGAGGAAACCCAACAAAAGACAGCATCTGAGGAGACATATTCATACAGCATCCAGAAATATGGGGAGACAGAAGCACAGCCCGAGATGGCCTCAACATTCCAGCATTCCTATGTGGATGTAACCCATCAGGAACAGGCTTTCAGAGAAGGAAGCTTGCCTTACATGAACAATGGCTCCAATGAGGTGACGTGGCAGCAGGGCCGGAGCTCATCCAGAGTGTCCTCTCTAATCAAAGCCTTTAGTGCAGGGGAGTGTTACCGTGACAGTGGGACATGTGACATTATTTTGGCAAGGGATCGGTACAGAGACTTTGGCAGTGAATCATGGGACAAATCAACTCTGCTGAGCATCCAGAGGGAACTCTCTGACTTCTCAGAAAACCATCATAATTTTAAGCTGGGCTCTTTTCAGTCTTACAGAAACAATTTTTATGCATCTGAAATGGCTAGTGCAGTGGGCCAGATGGACACAACTGTCCTGATGAAAACCTCAAAAAGTAAGTTGTCAATGAACTCCACAAACTGTTTTTTTCATAGTGAATTCAGCCCCTTCCAGCTGTGGGAAGAATACAACAAGTTTACCTTCGAAAGTACAAAGATGTCAGGGTTTATGTCAGCTAATGAATTCCCAAGGTGGTATGATTCTCCCATGTACAAAGAGCTGAAAGACAACAACAGAGTTCCTAACTCTCTGTGTGAAAATAGGCGCTTAAGTCAGAGACAAATTCAGGATGTTGTGGCTAGTCAGCGCTCCAGGTCCACGCTTACCCACAAAGCCTCTGCAATTGAGAAAAGATGCGAATCTGAGATAGCATCCAACTACCCACCCTGGAAGAAAAACAACAACTTTGTTAGGAACAAACCAGTCAACCGGCCCTCTACGGTCTCACCTTCTAATGAGAGGACATGTAGACCGGATTCAAACTTATTTAGCAATAGTAAAGCAACACACGAGATAGTGGTTGAAAGCACCCTACCTAGCAGTGTGACGCCATTCAGTATCACTCAGCTTCTCACACCGGTCATTCACCTGAGACAAGAAACAGAGACGTCTGAGATCCTGCAGTTTGCACACACACCCTCTGTTTCTGATTATTCCTCACAGAATGAAGCTGACCCTAAACTTCAGACTGATGTCCAACATCTGCGTGACAGCTACAAATCCAAAGCTTCAAGTCTTCTGTTCAACCTCAAAGACAATCGAAAAAGAGTCAAGAGCACATACAGTCCCACTAGATTTAAAGGCCTAGAAATAACAGACAGAAATAAGCAGACCTCAAAGCTGGAGGGCCGGGAATCCAGATTTTCAGATATACTTGTATCCCAAGAAACTGCTCATGAGAATTTGTCTGGAACGGATGCACGGGCCTCATGCAACTCAATCCGAGAGCCCAGTGCAGCCCTTAACACCCTTAAAGATTATACTGATGGCTTTGGATCATATGATAATTTGACATTAAATTCACCTCAAATTCAGGAAAGAGTCGCTAATTACAAATCAGTCCATGGAAGTTCAGAGGGTTCAGAGGGTCACTCTCCCAGCAGAGATTCGCTGGCTAATGTAGGGCTCTCAACACACAATTTATCAGCACAGCATAAAAGCTATCTGACTTCAGAAGGTCAATTAAAAGACCTCAACTATACTTTTAGTCCTGCAAGGCCAGAAATAGCAAACATGCATCCAAAGGCTTACCCTCCAACACATTCTCTGCCCGCTCAGACATCAGAACGGTACGGCCAGAGTAATAACTTGAGTCAAAATGATGTACAACAAAGAAAGGATTTTGGAAGAAAAACTTGGGACAAGTTTGATTCAGTCAATGAAAGAGATGACCGATTTGAATCAGGGCCATTTAGAGGAGAAATAGCAGCTCTGATTGAGATGGACAAACAGAGGAAGGCCACTGCCAAGCAATATTCTGCCAATGATAATTATTCTGTCCGAAAGGAAACTTATATGCAAAAAGTGAATGAAGACATTAAACTTGGTCGACTTTCAAAGGAGGAAGCGAAAGAGGTCAGAGAAGACTCTATATCACCCAGGAAAACATCTTACAGTGACAGTCAATTGAACACATTTTCAAAGCATACTGAATCATATGGAATGCTAAAAAAACAGAATACAACACATCCTCTAAAAGAGGTCTATGGTGGTTTACAAAGCCTTAATGTAACAAATGATCATGTTAAAGCACCAGAACAGAACGTGTCTTCTAACAGCATGGCAATGCAAAAGACATTTGATCAGAGAGTGTATGCACCTTTACAAGACCATAAAGCCCAAAAGAATGAAGAACTGTACTCTTATCAGCCATATAAGTATGAGCATAACAAACAGTGGCACATGTCAACAAGTGAAGACAGGCACACCAAGGAAAGCATGTGGATGCAAAAAAAATTAGAGACAATGGAACAAACTGATGCCAAGAGTTATAATGTTTCTAATACATTGTCAACTACAACTGAGTTTGTTACCTGCAATGGTGCACCAAAACCCAGATTGCAGGATGGAGAATCAGCCTCATCAACTGACACCTCAGATCAAAATAACTCAACTAAACAAGACAGGTTCAGCATTAATGATATTCTTGCCATCAGAGATAACGAGCAGGCAAGAAGACTAAAGGATAATTCAGTTAGTATGTCTAAATCAGAAAATTCACAAAGTCAAGTGAAATTGGATGCAGCTGAAAAACTAACCACAACAGATCTTGCTAAGGAGCAAGAACAACAAGGCTACAAAGTGCAGGAAGTTATAAGTCCATCGCCTGGCTATATTAGAAAAGAATTCCACAATGCAACAAATATCAGCAATGACAGAAAAGATAGAATAATGAGTAAAGACACTGAGAAGGCTACTACAAGAGCAATGTCTTACAAAGAAAGAGGCCAAAGCAAACAAGAAATACTGACGTCGAAATTGAAAGCACATGCTCAAAAGGAAATATCAGCAATTAAAGAAAAGGGACTTGCCAGACAAGGCATTCTTGCAAGAAATACAACAAAACCAAGTATGACTATCAATAATGAAGGTCAAGAAGGTCATTCAAATAAGAAGGAAATCACAGCAGACAAGCTAAATCACCTGTTTCAAGATATCACTTATTCCAGTGTAACCCAGTACAAAGAACAAAATAAAACGCAAGATCATCATCTCAACAATGAGTCGCCACCATCAACAGAAAAGGAACCTCCAAATGTTGAAGATAATCAGAAATTTTCACTTGAAATGAGGAACGAGAAAGTAAAACGTATACCTTTGACAGTAGACAGGCAAAATGACGCACATCCAGCTGATGATAAAGTTTTAATGAAAGAAACATTTTCTCATGTAGGAGATACAATAGTGTCAGATATGATAAATAATGCCCAGAAAGACTACCAGCAATCCAGAATCTCTGAAGATAGGCAAATGAATGTAACAAGCTCAGAGGATATAAACGCTAACAAGGAATCTGTAAAACAGAGCCACGAGTTAATGTCAGGTCATGTGACAACTGCACACAAGCCTGAGAAATGCACATCCCAAAATTCCCCAGTACTCTATAATGAAAAACATGATCAGAAAGAAAATTTGTATGGGAGTAACCAAAGTAAATATACTGAAAAGGCTTTAATTAAACCTGCTGATACAACCAAAAAAGATTTTACAAGCACAGAGGCTTCAAAATCTACTAGCGGTTTGAATAAAAATGACCTTTTGGGATTGGAGAGAAACAAGCCAAGAGTTGAGGAACTTAATGTACATCATAAAAGTAAGATTGATGCTGCAGTGGAGCAACCTAAAATTGAACCAATCAAAAATAGCTCAGAGATTACAGCTAGTCAACTGACATCCTCATCAAGTGACATGAAGTTTAAAAATGGAATTCCACCTGCTAAACCACTAATGGAATCTGCCAAATCAGAGCTCACCTCAAACCTTCAAACCATTACATTAAGTGCAGATGTAGAGCAGCTTGTAACTAGAACCTATAAACATAATTCTGGGCTCAGTTCAGATTCAGAGGCATCGTCGATGGAAATTACAGCCAAAGTCAAATCTATGCCAACAAACAATCCAGGCTCACAAAGAATCATGGAGCCAGAAACACTCAAATGTGTTAATAATAAAAATGGTCAAGCATTAATGATCAAAAACAATACGACACCGGAAAATGTTTTATTTAACCAACAAAACAATCCATTGCAAGTGAAGGCTAATGACAGTACCACTGCAAACCAAATAAAGGATAATCAGTCAAGCTTAGGAACAAGTAAAGAATCTCTAACACAAATGGCATCAGTTAGAGCGAAAGAAAACTGTTTACAAAAAGATCTTCCTCAAGATGATGAAAATACAAAGTCTCTGCTACGTTTCAATAAGGAAGATAAACAAGCATTAATAATTGGAAACAATAAAACAAAACAACATATTATGGATGACCAACAAAGCAATGCATCTCAAGTAAAGTCTCCAGAAACTACCACTGCAAACCAAATGGTGGACAGTCAGTCAAAGCCAGGATCAGATAAGGAATCACTAAAACACAAGACTTCAGCTAAAGCTAAAGAAAACTGCGAGCAAGAGAAACTCCAAAGAGATGAAGACATGACAAAGTCTTTGCTCTATTTCAATAATGAAGATGTACAAGCATTAGCTATCAAAAACATTAAAACAAAGGAAAATGTTTTGGATAACCAACAAAACAGTGCATCACAAGGAAAGGCTGTAAAAACTACCACTGCAAACCAAAAGATGGACAGTCAGTCAAAACTAGAAACAAGTAAAGAATCCCTAGCACAAATGGCATCAGTTAAAGCAAAAAAAAAATCTATGCAAAAAGAACTCCATCAAGATGATGAAAATGATAAGGTGCTACTATGTTTTAACAATGAAGATGGACAAGCAATAATGATCAAAAACATTAAAACAAAGGAAAATGTTTTGGATAACCAACAAAACAGTGCATCACGGGGAAAGGCTGTAGAAGCTACCACTGCAAACCAAAAGATGGACAGTCAGTCAAATCTTGGAATGAGTAAATACTTACTACCACAAATGGCATCAATTAAAGGAAATGAAAACTGCGAGCAAAAAGTACTCAATCAAGATGATGAAAATACAAAGTCTCTGCTATGTTTTAATAATGAAGATAGACAATCATTAATGATCAAAAATATTAAAACAAAAGAAAAAGTTCTGGATAGCCAACAAAACAGTGCATCACAAGGAAAGGCTATAGAAAGTACCACTGCAAATCAAAAGATGGACAGTCGGCCAAATCTTGGAACTAGTAAATATTCACTAACCCAAATTACATCAGTTAAAGCAAAAGAACACTGTGAGCAGAAAGAACTCCATCAAGATGATAGGAATACGGAGTCTATGCTATGTTTGTACAATGAAGATGGACAAGCAGTGAAAAACATTAAAACAAAGGATGATGTTTTAGTTGATCAACAAAACAGTGCATCAAAAGGAAATGCTGTAGAAACTACCATTGCAAACCAAAAGAAGGGCAGTCTGTCAAAACTAGAAACAAGTAAAGAATCCCTAACACAAATGGCATCAGTTACAGCAAAAGAAAGCTTTGAGCAAAAAGATCTCCATCAAGTTGATGAAAGTACAAAGTCTTTGCTAAGCTTTAATAAGGAAGATGGACAAGCATTATTAATCAAAGATAGTAAAGCAAAGCAAAATATTATGGATAATCAACAAAGCAATGCATCACAAGAAAAGTCTACTCCTGCAAACCAAATGGTGGACAGTCGGTCCAAACCAGGATCAAATAAAGAATCACTAAAACACAAGACTTCAGCTAAAGCTAAGGAAAATGATCATCAAAAAGAACCACATAAAGATAAAGAAAATACAAAGAATTTGGTGTTATTCGACAAAAAGGAACTTTCTAAAAGCCAAAACATGTCCAGAATAATAGATAGTTCAGCAACTGTAAGTAACAGTCAACAGGTAGAGAAAAGGCCAGAAAGTGCAATGTCAAAACAAAAAGAACTTCCTAGACCATTGGAAATATCAAAAGAGAACAACAATCACAAGACAACAAAAGAATCTCAAGAAAAGAACCCAAGCAATTCTGAACCCAAAAAAGCTATAGATAAACTAGAACCAAATGTTTCCTCACAACATAAAGTAAAACTAGATGAGGGTGCAACTCAAAAGGACAATACAAAGCCTGTTTCAACACAGAATGTAGAATCTACAGCCGGTGTATCAAACATCATTCATACACCTAGCAAAGTGGAGTCTGCAGAGGAGCCGATGATTTACAATATTTGTGTGTCAAGCAAAACGGAAGCAGCCTCAGACGATGAGCCCATGATCTACACTATATGTGTGTCAAGTAAGTGTCATATTGATGAGCAACAAAATTCAGTCAAACAAGAAGAGGAGAGTTCTGTTGAAACTGAAATAAGTGTTAAGGATGATAGCTTTCGTATTGAAAATGACAGAGCAGAAAATGAACCTGAGGTTGTTCGCAGAAAGACTGAAGTATCTTCAAACGTTGAAGAAAAAGAAGACAAGATTGGAAAATGTGAACTGACGACAACTATGAATAAGTCAAATGTCATGGGAAGAATCACTACATCATACGAGGACCTCTTAGCTAAATATGGGCTTCCAGCAAGTGATTACCATGGTCATCTCATGTCAAAACGTACTCAAGAAGAGAGAGAGAGAAAAGAAAAGGAGGACACTGAAACTCAATTCTCAAACAAACCAATAAAACATGGTATTACCAAACCTCTGACACCCAAAGAAAAAAGCTCAGGTGACAAACAAACACATTCAGATGACTCAAGACAAGCCTCCAGTCAAAAGACGTCTATTACAAGTCAACCTTTAAAGGAAGCAGAGGGAAAAATCAAGCAATTGCAACACTGTGATATCCCTTCAAACAACGTTGCTGAAAAGCAACAGAGTTCAGGAAATAGTATACCAAGCCTTGGCCATTCTACAAGTGATACCACCCTAATACCAAAAGATATAAATAGACATGTTGAACAAGACAGAGTTACACAAAATATTGAACCATCAAGTCAGAGTAGGGGAAGCAATATTCAATCGAAGGAAAAGAAAGTTGAAGAGCAAGTGAGAAACAGTGAGAAAGTGCAAAGTATGAAAAATACAGGAAATATTACTGATGACGTATCCAGAAAGTCCACAAAGAAAACAGACAATGAATCCCTAATGACTAAACAATCGGTAATGTGTGAATCAACAAGAGCAGCAAAATCTGATGTTTTAAAAGCATCCGTTTCCAACACATCCTTGGCAAAGGACACAGCCAAGACCAAACTCACTGAAAGTAAAATTCCCAAAAAGACAATACCCCAAGCTGAAAAGAAGCTTGAAGAGGTGGAAGGTAAAGAGAAAATGTTTAATCAAACTGATACATTAATGCTACATCCGAATAAAATACACAGAAGGGAAACGTTTAATTCAGAAAATCAGAAAAGTATTCATGAGGATAAACAACAGGATTCTACAATGGCTTTGAAAAAAGAATCTGTCTCACACAAAGATACCCAAACTCTGCAAAAGAATGGAAAGGAGAATTTGGAGGTGAAAAGGTCACAAGAGAAGTTACAAGTTGAACTGAACAAGAGTCATGAAATTACTAACCAGATGAAGATGGTTTCAAAAGATACAACACATGTTAATAATTACAAGGATCAAGTTAGCAGTATTGGTGAGGATGTGTGTACTGTTGTAAAACACAACCAGGCTTCTTTTGAAGCCCCAAAAATTCACTTAGAGGACATAAAAGTGTCTACAGAGGAAGTGTCATCAAACAAAGAATTCATGGTAGGCCACAAAAACCAACATGAAGTGATAAAGAGGAAAACTCTACAAGGAAAGAAAGTAACTGTTGTGGCTGAACATGTGGGTGAAAAAGACTTTGCAGAGCTAAAGAAGTTACCAATAAAGACCCTTGCAGCCCAAAATGAACCCAAAACTGTGGACATTATGAAAGGGCTCTGTGAAACGGCACCCAAACCACTTAAGAGAGATTGTCCAAGTGAATCAGAAAAGCCAGAAATTAATCAACAAGATGCATTAGTTCAGTCTCAACATATAAAAGTCTGTGATAATAAACAACCTGCACTGAATAGTGAGGAAAGGAAGATTGAACAGCCTGTATTAAGTAAAAATGGACAAAAGGATGGTAATTTGAAAGTTCGAAATGAAAACAGAAGCAGTCTCGAAGGAAAGCAAGTAAAACATATTGAAGCTACTGAGACAAAACAAGCTCATCAACCTAATACAAACCAGAATCAGCCTGGGAGAGGTTTGGAGCCTGAAAAAGAAAGAAGTGCAAGCTATGAACTAGAACATGCACAGATATATCAAAAGGACGCCAAGAAAGAAGGTATGTTATCCAAAAATGAGGCTACACAGAGGAACAAAAAGGTGACTAGACCTGAAATATCAGCAATCGCAGACTATGCTCGACTGAAAGTTATTGCTGCAGAAGATGACACAAAAGAGCTTGATATATTTCCAAAAACGGACTTCTACAACAGTTATGATCAGCCGGCTTCAAGAATTTCTAAAGATTCTCATAGAAAGGTGTCAGGAGATATATGGGAAGATTCAAAACGAGAGGCCATTTTAAGAGAAAAAGGTCAAAATCTCAAGCAAACACCATCATTAGCCCAAAAGCACAATCCCAGTACGAATATAGCTGAAGCAACGCCTGTATCACTGGTAGCATCAGGTTCACAAGGTAGAGCTGCTTCAACTCAATCAAGGACTCCAGCAATTCATAGGAAATCAAATACTAAACAAACTTTGGAGCAAACAAAAACAGGAGAAAGTTACAAAACATACCAGTCCAGGAATCCCCAAGGAGACAATATTGCAGCATTGCAAGCTGAGAGTACAATAAACCGATCAAGACAACCGGCTCATGATAAAAGAATGGAGAAGACTAGCTTTTCTCATTCAGGAAGACAAGTGTTGGGTAATGTAAAACAAGCAGACAACCAAATAAATATGGCATCACCACCAGAAGAAGAAATGGAAGAACTACAATATTACACCGTGAATGCTCTTGACATTGAACCAAAGCCAAATTACACACCCGAGCCACCTCATGAAAGTCCCAAAATTTACCAAAACAAATTAGAGGAAGACAAAAAGGAAGATAGCTTGTCTTTGCAAAGTCTAACAGAATATGGTAAAGCTAACATGACAGGACCCCGATCCAACTCTTCTTCTCCAGCCATGGGAAAACCCACCATGTTCAGAGTGAAGGATAATACCATCAGACCGTCTTCTGTGACCAAAACTGTGAAGCCACGCTTTCACAGGTCATTCTCTGATGACTTGAGGATTGGTTCTCCAAAGGAACACTTGAGCGGTTCAGAGAAAGAAGATGAAACTCATCCCAAAGAGTCTGCTAACCTTCCTCTCTTACACGAGCCAGCTATTGTTACCCAGCCACTCCAAAAAGTAAAGGAAACACTCCATAACAACATGTCCATAGCAGATTACTCGACAAATAAATTAAAAAGCTATCAAAGAAGAAGCCAACATTTTGAGGAAGAAGAAACCCGTTCGGTCATCAGCACAATGTCGGAAGATTTAGAAAACTGTACAGCGAGACCTATAGATCTGGCCGACCTAAGTATGGCCTTCATGCCTAAGAATGAATTTTACAGAGATTCCTACCGAAGGCCTGCATCCGCCTGCTATGAACGACCAGATTCAGTCTGCTACGAAAGGCCAGAATCAGCCTGTAGTGATATAAGATCATTGGGGAAACCTCCAGCGGTGCCCCCCAAATCTGAAAAAGCTCTTCGGCGAGCGCAAAGACTTACAACAAGACGTCTCAAAAAGTCTGAGTCTCCGAAGTTAGCACCTGAAAACCAAGAACAACCAGAACCCAAATCAATCAGCAACATCTCCAGCGTTCCCTCTTCACCATCGGATGTACCGTCATCACATCAAGAGGTGCATGCCTCACCCCCTCTTTCACAATATGACACCCAGCCAAATTACTCCCCCCCTGCACACAGTATAGTGGCGCAACCTTTCCCAATGACACAGAGAAAGCTTTTGCAAGACCCAAACTCAGGGCAGTACTTTATGGTGGACGTACCACTACCGGTTAAGACAAAGACTTTTTATGACCCTGAAACTGGTAAATATGTACAGTTGAATGTCCGTCAGAGGTCTCAGGGTGCTTTAACACAGCCAGCACAAGTTGAAATGTTAAATGCTCCTTACATGCTGTATCGTGGCTTTCTGCCAATGGCTGCATCCTCATTATCACCCTTGAGGTCATCATCTGAAATGTCAACACCGGCTGCGCTAACAGTTCATCGGGATATGCTTGAGACGGGTAGCGAAGCGTGGACTCAGAATGTTCATCACAGCAGAGATTCTCAGCAATACCCTGAAACACAGTATGGGTCACACGAGCAAATTCACAACCCGGCTTTGTATGCAGAAAACAATGTTGATGACAATGACAGACACAGAGATATTATAACTATGAGTGAATTAGAGGACTTTGCAATGGAGAGCACATGACAAGAAAAGATAGTTTAAATAGGTAAATGCTGTTTGTACACAAATCTATCCTTTTATGACTGTATATCTAAGCTATTTAAATGTGACTTTTAAATTAAAGGTGTTCAATTTGTATTCAAAGATTGCTATTAAACTGCATTGTGTTTTGTAGCCGAGGGGAAGGGCATGGGCTCTTTATTGTCAGAAAAATCAATTGAAGAATTACGAAGCATTCCAATGAATTATGTTATGTTAAAAATAATTTTGCAGTGTTTTATTTATAATACAATAAAGACTATACACGGGCGTCACGGTGGCTCATTGGTTAGCACGATCGCCTTACAGCAAGAAGGTTGCTGGTTTGAGCCCCAGCTGGGTCAGTTGGCATTTTTTCTGTGGAGTTTGCATGTTCTCCCCGTGTTCGCGTGGATTTCCTTCGGGTGCTCCGGTTTTTCCCCACAGTCTAAAGACATGTGGTATAGGTGAATTAAATAAGCTAAATTGGCCGAAGTGTATGTGTGTGAAAGAGTGTGAATGGGTGTTTCCCATTGGGTTGCGGCTAGAAGGGCATAATATATGCTGGATAAGTTGGCGGTTCATTCTGCTGTGGCGACCCCTTATTAATAAAGGGACTAAATCGAATATAAAATGAATGAATGAATAAAGACTATACCCACGCAGCACACAATACCTTCAAGAGGAGTGACTTTAGTATTTTATGCTAAATGCTACATCCTACAACCTAGTCAGAACCTTTATTGGTCTGTCAAAACAAAATTTTGACATATTTTCCAAATGGCTCACATTACACATGAAAACTGAAAGTTCATTCATTCATTTATTTTCTTTTTGTCTTAGTCCCTTTATTAATCAGAGGTTGCCAAAGCTAAAAGTTTGTCAGTTTAAAAATTTTTTTAAGGCTGTTTGCCATATTAAGGCAACTTTTCCGTTGATATTCTTTTGCACATAACATATTAAAAAGAGGGTTCTGTCTTTACATTGCAATCGTCATTAATGTTTGACTATGAAATTGTTGCTTTATAAACAACTCCTTGCAATATACTACTTTCTAAAGTCTTTCAGAACCTCATTATATCATTAAAAAAAAGATGTGAAATTAAAATATATTGCCTTTCTCACACAAAACTTAAATGTATTTTAAAACATTAAAAAAGGTCGTATTTTCTGATGTAACAAACTTTGGAATGGCCCTTTGCAGTTTGCTCACTTGACACAGTTGCTGTGTATATACAAATATTTTAGTGGGTTTGAGCGATTTCAGTATCTGCACAATAGACCACTCTAGTGGACAGAGGGTGCGTTGCACTTTATGTATTTCAAAGTAAATCAATAATGTATTGAGCACATCTCGAAAAATGAGACTACATTTTTTGTGTATCAGACCTATAGCCAGCCTGCTTAAAGGGGTGGTTCTTTTTTTCTTAAAAAGTGGAGCTAAGTTATTCTCCTCGATTTCTATTAAACTATGAGGTTCAAATACTGTATTTTGGTGACATTTTAAGCACTAATGCTGGATTAGCTTGTCGGATGGATGGTAAACATGACCACTTTTTGATGCAACAAAAAAATTCCTACAATTTTGTCAAAGTGATTACCACACTATTTTACCGGAGGGTTTATTAAAAAATGTGCATTTAAACTAAGTATAGTTTTATAAATAATGTTATAAGATTAGAAGTTAAAATACAAATGAAAAAAGAGATATGAAAAAAAGACTTGCTTTTAAAAGTACAAATTTATTATCATCATGGGTGACGCTGCAGGGCAGTAGGTAGTGCTGTCGTCTCACAGCAAGAAGGTCACTGGTTCGAGCCTTGGCTGGGTCAGTTGGCATTTCTTTGTGGTGTTAGCATGTTCTCCCCGCAATCCTAGGGGTTTCCTTCTGGTGCTCCGGTTTCCCCTACAAATCCAAAGATCTGATACAGGTGAATTGGGTAGGCTAAATTGTCCGCAGTGTATGAGTGTGAATGGATGTTTCCCAGTGATGGGTTGCGGCTGGAAGGGCATCGCTGCGTAAAAATGTGCTGGATAAGTTGGCGGTTCATTCAGATTAATAAAGGGACTAAGCCGAAAAGAAAATTAATTAATGAATTATCATCCATCTTTAAAAAAAAATTAGGAATCTGTTCAAACATATTAAAAACTGTGGCCTATAGGTAAATCACAAACCCACAAAATCACAAAATTTCAGAATTTGTAAATTTGAATATTTAAAAAAAATAATTTGAAATAAACCAAAATAATTAATTGGAAATATGTGTTAAAGCCTTCTTCTATTGGTTAAATGTACAATTTATGATGATGTCATACTGTCAAAAATGGGATAAATGAGCTCATGTAGGGGCCAAATTCTGAACATTGTCAGTGGGGGGTGGGTCTTCGAACCACTCGAACCCCCCCTAGCTACAGGCTTGTATATACAAAAAACTCACTGCAGATATGACTTATTTATTCATTTTCTTTTCAGTTTAGTCCATTTATTAATCTGGGGTCGCCACAGCGGAATGTACCACCAACTTATCCAACATGTTTTATGCAGTGGATGCCCTTCCAGCTGCAACCCAACACTGGGAAACACCCACACACTTTTGCATTCACACACATACGGCCAATTTAGCTTATTCAATTCACCTGTACTGCATGTCTTTGAACTGTGAGGGAATCTGGAGCACCCGGAGGATAACCCACACGAACGTGGGGAGAACATGCAAACTCCACAAAGAAATGCCAACTGACCCAGCTGGGGCTTGAACCAGCGACCTTCTTGCAAGGCGATCGTGCTATCCACCGTGACGCCAGATTTGACTTATAATTATTTTAAAACTACTGTTTTCTTTTATGTTATGTGGAACTGTGCTTAATAAATATCCAACACAATATAAGAAAGACAATCAGATCCATTAAGAATACTTGTCTTTCTCAGTCTAAATAAATGCATTGAGTTATTAATCTGTTTTTGACATAAGCACATGCAGCTATGATAACTGCACAGATGTTGACCGTATCTTGACCTATGCAGGAGGGGCATATCTCAAACAGCTGAAGCGCCAGAGTTTGGATGTGACTTCACTGACAATGTATCATTAATGCAACAAAAGAACTCATTAACTTCATTCAAACACAATTTGAAACAAATGATTTGTGTTATTATTTCGTTTAGTTTAGGGGGGTTTTAGGCTTGCTTGGCCTCACTCCAGTTAATTTGATGTAACAATGCTTCTCATAATAGAATGAATTACTACACTGAATAATCAATAATCCACGTGCACTGAATGTTACAAACAATCTTCTAAATATACTACTACAATAACTCTAAATGACTTAAAACTATTACAGGCCATTTGTTTTTCTGTGTGCTTGCTGTGCGAGAATTCATTTTGGAAAAGAAAAAAAAAGATTAACAACAGCAACAGTGTCTAAATTGATTTTTCCCCTGACTCGGGTTTTCTCAAAGCGGAGGCATCTTTATCAGCCGATGCAATGTGCAATCACAATGGTATTTTTATAATGGTAGTTTTTTATTTTAGTGGGCAACATCTCACATGTGGTAGCAAATATGTTTTAGGTTAAAAAAATTGTAATCATTATGACCAACATCTCGCCTGTTTTTCAACAATATTTTGATAAAATCATTACAAAAACTTAACGATTATGGTGGAGAGTAAAGCTAATTCATCTAATTCCCTTGGACTACTTTGCTAATAAAATGAATATTTTCATAAAATCATTATAACTTAAGCTAAACCTTCTGGGTTTCTATTTATGATGGACGTCAAATACAATTTTATTTTGAAAAATTCCCCTTGGCCTAATTAACCATAGAAAAAATAATAATATTTCTTAAATAAATTGATTTAACGCAACATAATTTGCACCTCAGTTCACAGGACTTCTCTCACAAAAGATAACATTTTTTCAGTCAAGAAGAACTTCTCACTTACAACACCTAATCTCACGTAATCAGACATTCTCCTTTTTTTGTTTTTTGAGGATTTAGTGCAGGTCTTATTAAATGAAGGATTAGGACTAAATGTAAAATGGGAAAAAAATTTAATGGAAAAAAATTTAAGAACTGTAGAAATGAATACTGGTCTGCCACGGCCTCATGTCAGTCTGTGATAAAAGAAACTGGACAGTGATTGGTCTAGAGGGCGCTTTTATTTAAGAACTGTAGAAAGTAATACACTGAAAAAAATGGTTCATTGCAATTTTTTGCAAACTTTTTATATTAGCTGAATTTAAACAAACAAATTAAGTTGAACATTACAAATTTTATTGGGTTGTTTAAATTCAGCCCATATAAATAGTTTACAACCAGTTATTATAAAAACAATTAGTAAATCCAATGAATATTTTTTTCAGTGTACTTGGCCAAAAAGCAATGTAAATAATATCAAAATTAATCTCTGAGTTCACCAAAAAATAAAAGTTTAAAATTCACCTGGTTTAAAAATTGGGTTTCAAATTTCAGTCATTAAAAAATCTCACTAACACATAATCTCAAATAGTTAAACATTGGTTATGCTCATCTGATGTTCAGCCACCTGTGATGTGTACAAATAACTACTGGCTATTAATGAGAAAGTGTTTTAGTAATTATTCTCTAAATTTTCAAACATTTGGATTTAGTACAGGTTTTACTAAATCTAAAGGAAAAAGAATAAAAATTTAAATTTAAATTTAAGAACTGTAGAAATGAATGCTTTACCTAAATGCAGAATGGTGGAAACAAGGGTCTGCCACTCAGCCTCCTGTCAGTCTGTGTGGTGAAAGAAAACTGGACAGTGATTGGTCTAGAGGGCGCTGTGATATATTTAACAGTATTGCAGGTTGGACCCTATTTGAAACCTGTTGCTCTTGCTTATGTGTTGTTTGAGGACAAACCTTTTTTTTACCTGAGGACAAATAAATAAAGCAAGAATAAAGAAAGAAAGGTCCCACTTTATATTAAGTGGCCTTAACTAAAATATTTACACAGGAATTAATTGATTGTTACAATGTACTTATTGTGTAAATACATGTATTTAATGTGTACTTATGCTTGATTAAATAAAAGTATGTAATTACATCTGTAATTAACTTTTGTAATTACATTTGTAAATACACTGTTGACTATTCCCAACACCTTAACCCACCTTTAAACCTACCCATACCACCAAACCTGTCCATAACCCAACCTCTATCCCAACTCAAAAACACCACAAGTGTTCTCAAATACATCATAAACACAGTAAGTACATTGTATTTATTTTTTTGATGCAAGTACATAGTAGTTAAGGACACTTAATATAAAGTGGGACCGAAAGAAAAAAGTTAATAAAAAAAAAGGTCATAGCATATGATTTTACACCATGGTTGTTGCATGTTCTTAGCTCATTCTGCTAAATTATTTTAACGTTTTTAATTCTCTCTCTTTTTTATATGCCAAATGATGTTTAACAGAGCAAGAATATTTTTCCACAGAGTTTCTTTTTATTTTTTTCTTCTGAACAAAGTCTTATTTCTTGAAGTTTGACTGGAATTTAAAAAAGGATAAAAAAAAATGATCAAATTTAGGTCATTTAAAGTCCCCTTAAGAAATTATTTAAATATTTTCTTCGATTGGCTACAGAACAAACCACTATTGCTCAACGGTTTGCCCAATTTACCTAACTTGCATATAGTTAACCTCCTTTAGCACTTTCAACTGAATAAAGCATCTTGCAAATCTTCTTAAAAAATTATATACTGTCATCATGCACAGACTAAAGTAATTAGTTATAAAAAATGAGTTATTAAAACAATTATATTTTAAATTAAGCAGCACTTGGGAAATATTTAAAAAAAGAAATCCAATTACACAGGAGGGCTAATAATTTTGTCTTCAACTGTATACAGCAGGATTCTCATTTATTATTGAAGTTATTGTGTTTATTTAATATTGTTTCAAATCTAAAAAATTATCTTTAATTCAATGTTAAATTAAATGTATTGACTAAAGTGATAAAATATCATACAGTTAATTAATAATTACAATTTTTCAATATGGCAGCCTGTATTATGCTTAATTTTCTCAAATGTTATTAGTGCATTTTCTGTTATCGATACCAGTGAATGATTTTTCGGTTGCACTTTACATGTATTCTACAGAGCATATACTTACCTAAGAAAGTACTGGGTGATGATTAGGTTTAGGGATAGTAGTTATAACCCAGTTTATGCAATTACTGTGACAATGTAAACACAAAACTGGGCATTGAAAAAATAAAGTGCTGCAGAGTTTTCTTTTTTTCTTTGAGAGTGTGCTCCAAATATAACAGTATTTTCTACACACATTTCAAGCAATACTGTGCTGCCTTAAAACACAAATGCCAAGCAGCATGGCTTCATCAGGCAAGACTTTTGACATTATCCGGCTCTGCTTTGTCACCGGGGTGTCACATCATGAATAATTAAATCACTACTTTGTGATAATACATAATTCAGCATCAATTATTAATGCTAATGTGTGTGCAGTTTACTCAATTGTGTTATTGACTATCAAAAGTAATTTCCTGAAAATCCTCAAGGACAAGAATTTAATCAGCCCAGCTTTCTTTGCAAAGGTAGCACTGTTGAGTGTTCTTAATCTAAGTTGCTTTTGCAATATTGCAATGTGTTTCTATGAAAGCAGCTACTCGCGTTTGTTTTTAATAATCTGTTTGATGGTTCATAAATGATCGCTCGGTATTGTATAATTGCATTTATGCTTTTGTTCTAAAGAGTTTTTGTGGTTTGTTGCAATATAAAGAAATTCTAAAGGCAGCATGACTAAACCTAATGGCATCAGAGCTTTGTCGTAATGTCATAATTATCATTGTCATCAAGGGATGCATGTAATAATGTCATATGATACAAGAGATTCATAATGTACTTTAAGGTAAATAAATAATAAGAGCAGCCATTGCTTCCATTTTTTGCAGGCCTACCGCATGTGAACTTATTAATAATTGATCATAGCCAGATGGTGTGAGCAATAGGCAACAGGAGATGTACATGATTGCCTACATGTTTAATTGTTTTATAGAACATGTCAAAACAGAACCAGTGTGTGGACTCTTGCGACCGATGGCGGACAGACGTAATGACAGTTGTCATCCCATCAGCATGAATAAATAGGAGATAACCCGCATCATATCATAAAACATGACAAACCACTTAATATACAGTTCTGTCCTTGATATTATCTTACATATAGTATTTCACATTAGTACATTTATATTTCGGCATGGCATATATCTTGACAAAATGCAGAATGTCTATCATCACCTGACTTCACAGTACACAAGTCAAACATCAAAGTGGATTGTGAAAAATTAAGTAAGTTCACATTGGCAACCAGGGAGATTTCTTTTTTCTTTTTTTTTAACCATAATTATTAATCTGTCCACCAGGAAAATGGTATTACAGCATCGGTGCGCCCATGTGCACCCAAATCAAAGCAAAGAATCATGAGTAAAAGTGAACGAGGAGAGGAAAAATTACTAACAAAGTAATAGTCTGACACATACATACGCACAAAAAACACAAGAAGGGGTTGCACTTTACACCCTTCATGTCCTGGGTGAGTCAGTTCACTCAAAAATAAAAAAGAAATAAAATAAAAAGGTAGCAGGCATTCAATGCTTGATTATAAATCCTTCATCCAAAGAGTGTCCTGAAAAAATCAAAAGGAATCGACCTAGAATCCCTCATTTCTTATCCGGACCCTCCTTTTGGCAGTGCAGATGCTTGTCTGGAGTTCTCCGTAGTGATGTGATCTTTGAGGTACTGGAGTTTGGACTGGAGTCTCCTCCGGTGTTTTGGCTGAGAGGAAGCGCTGGGCCCGCTGCAGGCCCGGTTGTAGACCCTGTGCCCAGCAGGTTGGCAGACTGGAGCACGGCCTCTGAATGCTCTCTGGCCTTCATCCGCAGGGCTGCCACGCTGGCGGTGCGGTTACTCTGACACCCGTATGGTGGCAGGAAGGACAGGCCCATTGGGTCGGGCACACAGCAGGAACACAGCGGACTTCCTAATGAGGCAGACCACAGTAATGGGTCATAATGGGATAGCATGTAGAAAATGGCCTTTATCCATTATAAAAAATGTCTTCGTCCATGTGTGTATCTATCTATCTATCTATCTATCTATCTATCTATCTATCTATCTATCTATCTATCTATCTATCTATCTATCTATCTGTCTGTCTGTCTGTCTGTCTGTCTGTCTGTCTGTCTGTCTGTCTGTCTGTCTGTCTGTCTGTCTGTGCTTGTTGACATGATTATAATAAGATCTTATTTATTAATCAAAATTAATTGCATAAATCAACTAACAACGAGTAATATATTTTACAGCATTTATTTACTTTTGTCTGTGTTGATTAATGAAAAGGTATGTGTTTATATTAGATCACATTCTTTTAGCTAGGCTTACACAATATTTGATCTTAAAGTATATTAGTAGATGCAGAGTTTTACAAACTATTACTAATAAATCCTGTTGAAGTAATGCCCATTGTCATCTACAGTCTAAAAATCTGTCAATGACTAACATTTACAAAAAGATCACATTTATTAATATAATATGAATGTGTAATGTTAATAAATTAATAACTAGGATCATATAATAATATATGATTTAATAATGCATTAATGAACTAACAATAATAAAACATTGTACAGCATTTATTTGGCTTGTTAGTTTTAAAACTCATGTTCATGCATTAAGTACCCAGATACACTGTTGATTTTTGTATGAGATTAACATGAACTAATATATAATGCTTATTATCTATCTATCTATCTATCTATCTATCTATCTATCTATCTATCTATCTATCTATCTATCTATCTATCTATCTATCTATCTATCTATCTATCTATCTATCTATCTATCTATCTATCTATCTATCTATCTATCTGTCTGTCTTTTGATGCGATTATAGTAGGATCACATTTATTAATCTAAATGAATTGCATGAATCAACTAACAAAGAATAATATAATTTACAGCTTTTATGTACTTTTGTCAGTTTTGATTCATTAAAAGGTATGTGATATTGTCCATTGTCATCTTTTAGTTATTAGTTCACTGTCTAAAAATCTATCAATCATTAACATTTACAAAAAGATCAAATTTAATAATATATGAACAAGTGTAATGTTAATAAATAAGGTAATGTAATGTCTATCTGTCTGTCTGTCTGTCCGTCTGTCTGTCTGTCTGTCTGTCTGTCTGTCTGTCTGTCTGTCTGTCTGTCTGTCTGTCTGTCTGTCTGTCTGTCTGTCTGTCTGTCTGTCTGTCTATCTATCTTAAAATATTTTAAATATTAATCCAGTGTTGCATTTTAGTCGTATGTAACAAAACATAAAATGCAAAATATCAAATATATCTGAAACATCCATAAATGTTTTTATGATGGCATTCAGTATGGCGGGTCTTACCTTTTAAAGTTGCCACTTGTGATAAAGCTTGCGCGTAAGTGGCTGTGTTCAGCAGAGTCCCAGGCAGACAGGATGGGAAAAAAGGTCCTCCCGAACCCACCACTCTGTTAATGCTGTACATGATGGAAAGAACCTGGCATTAGACCTCTTTAGAATGACAAACAGGAATTGCATGATTAGTAGATGTACACACTTCTGCTGGAGCTCCATTGGTTCTTTCTTGCTTCTGCTGTGGTCAACAGGAGACTGGTTGAGGTTTCGTGCAGGAGGATTGCCTTCATTCATTTGTTCTTTGCCTCCGTCCTGCTCCGAAGTTCCTCTTTCTGTTTTCCTCCACTTTGCTCTTCGGTTTTGAAACCAAACCTAAAGACAAAGGACAAAAACTAATGAATAACAAAGATTTGTTCTATGAATTTCATTAAAACTTAAATGTTGATTTAAATATATTTCTTCTGTGAAAAAAAAACATTATGGATTATTTTTTTTATTTTCCAATGAAGAAAAAGAAAACATACAATAACCTAAAGTTGTTTAATTTCAGGTTCTTCTTATTTTTTTAAATGTGCTGCCCATGTAGTCTAAAAGCCAGTGACTTATTTCAAACTTGACGAACACAACTGCTGAGCATATGCAGCGAAGTTCTTGTATGTTAATTGAATGAAGGTCATTGCCTATAACAACATTTAATTGAGCAATTTTTCATTATCATTTTTTAATGACTTCCTACTGACAGTCTCCCTGCTTCTGAGAGAGAACCATGATGAAGTCGTTTATTTCTCTATTTAGTGATTGTTTGACAACATCAGATTCGATTAAGTCTGTGCTCTCTAACACATTAATCATATTTGAATGGGAAAGGTTGCATAATGCGGCCATATCTCCACCGCCTGGCCAGCATTGTGTAAAGGTACAATGATGCGAGCAAACAAAACGCCACACACATACACGCCTATAGCTGCTGCTCTCTCCTCCACATAATATGACACAACAGTTTACTGGCAGGACAACAATATTCACAATGTAATTGTGGCAACATTATCTCACCCTTGCACCTTCCAGCTAGAAGTCATGATCCCCCAGCACTGAATGCTCCGTAATTGCACCATTAATCTCAATTTGCAGTTTGTTCTTAATGCAGCACAAGCCAATTGACACTTTAAAAACGGCGAGGCGCCCACTATACTACAACAACAAAAAAAGAAAATTTATTTCCTAATAATAACGTAAGTTTAATATCCCTGCATGCTGCGACCGATTCATGTTCAGATTTAATAATAGGAATCGGGTAATCCGATTAGAGAGAAATAATTTGTTTACAATCCCTAATTTACAGCCGCGAATTCCATTATCGCGTCGCAGTCATTGGTTTTAAGCGATAGTAAGATGACCCTGGGGAACAAAAGGGAAACTATTATATTTCCGACAATTAGATCTGAGCTCAGAAGGCAACCCAAAAGCAAATCTGGAATGCAGGAAATTGCATCCAGACACATTGAATGCAATTACACGTGGCCGACTTGATGTTATTTGCAAGGCCGCAGAATATGAAATCGGAGGTTTCAGGTGCAGCCTTCTCGGGACGTTTGTCTCGCATCCTTGCTCCATTTGCTGAAACGCGGAAATGGCAGTGCATCTAAGCAATTTTTATACCTTAGAGACGAGGGCAAATTAGTGGAGAACATTACCACTAGTTAATTATGAATGACCGATTAATCAACCTAATCTAATATTCCACATTATGTTGATGTTATTAAAGCGCATCACGGAAATGACAGAGTGGCTTCATTTATTTTCTTTGGCCAAACGTGCAGTGAGCGCCTTTATACGTGATGTCTCTGTGCATCTGGACTGTTGTGGGAAGACTCTCACCTGGACGCGAGCCTCTGTCAGGTTGATTTTCATAGCCAACTCTTCCCTCGTGAACACGTCTGGATAGTGCGTCTGTGCAAAAACCGCCTCCAAAGCCTCCAACTGTGGAAAGATTGAATTGTGTTCGTTGCGTCAATTTAAAATTCAGAAACAATTGTTCGTTCCCCGAGTATGAATGGTAAGTTAAAACTTACCAAAACTGACTTACATTTTAGTACAAGTAAGATGATGACAAAGTGGTAGAAATTCATCATACTGCTTGACCGCAATTATTTAAAATAATTATAGGAATTCTATATAGATAGGCTACATAAAGAAATGAAAACATTTGACAGTGTCTAGGCCTGCATGCACTTCGGCCTTTTCTTTATAGGCTATCTTACGTTTCCATCTGTGTCAATTAAAGCTTTAATAAATAAAGGTGTAGCTAAAAGATAAAGGAATTTTCGCAGTGATGCAATAAAAGATTCCTCAAAGGGAACAGTTTAGAACAATTTACCATAACCCTTTAAGGTGCATTTCTTAAGAATATTTTTTATGGCCTACATCTTTTATTGAATACTTTTATAAATAGTAATATGCAATTAAAACAATGATAACCAACTTAAGGGTTAATATGAAGAAAAGAGCCTATATAGTTTTTTAAATACAAGAAACTTTTTTGCTACATAGAAACACTTTGGAAATGTTACATGAATGTTAAAATGTAAATGAGTTTAACAAAATGGTTTTCCCTTTTGCTTTACAAAAAAATAAAACTTTACTTCCTAAAGGTGTCTGTTTACGTACATTTAAAAATGCGAAGCAATGTCAAAACGGTCGTTTATAAAACAGTCATTATAATGCAAGCTATAACAGTTTGATTTTGTATCAATCTGTCATTTTTGCTCCTCGCTGTTTTGGTACCTGTTGTAAGGTGAAAGTCGTCCTGTTTCTTCGTTGTTTTCTGCGCAGAAAACCGTCATCAAAGTCTCCAGAGGCGTGATTCCCGAACCCATTTGTGTTCACTGTTTTAAACAGGAACGCAACACTTTTAAAATAGAACATTTCAACAGGACAATAATATGCGTTATGCGTAATATGCGTTTTCCATTATTTCCGTTCGTTGCCTCTCGCTTAATAATACTGGACTAATTCACAGAGAGCAGTTGATTCATTGTGGAAACCACAGAGTCACTTTACACAATGGGAAACCGTGACCAACAAAATGCCAGCTGAAAGGCATGACATCTAACATCTGTTCTCAGACAGACTGCAACAAAAAGTCTCAGCTGGGCGGCTGTCAAGCGCGCGATCACATAACCATGTGGCAAAACATTAAAGTCCACAAAACAAAACATAAGCACAGGCTAATTATTAAGTAGCCTAACTTTAATAATGCACATCATCAACATAGAATCAACATCACAGCAGGCGAAAAAAGACATACGCAATAACCGAAAGCGCTTCATTTTTATCAGATTTAAAATAGGCCTAGCCTATATAGAAAAAAATGTTAACATTTTGATTCTTACTTACATGTGTTGGTCCTGCAGCACTCTCCTTCTAACTGTGGAGGACAGTGAAAGTAAAACATGGTGCTTTGCGAGTGGAGAGAATAATTCACTCTGCAAAGAAAAACAGCCAAACGTCAGCTGTAAAGCTCTCCAACTCTCACTTGCGTCTTACAAACAACTTAAAACTATGCTAATACATTTCTGCTAGCACATAAAGTAAAAAAACCCGCATCCGTACCAGTGGACGGTCCGTGTGCAGTAGGGTTTCCTCGCGTCTCCTGCTCAACCTCAGCTGAGCAGTTTCACTCCCACCGTCAATCACTGAGCGCTCCGGTTTATCCGCTCTCGCGCGCGCAAGGAGGGAGTGACCAGATGTCTTTGTGACTGTTTACAGCATGACAACACTCGCCTTTATAATCTCCCACGTAATTGCAATTAATCAGATTTGGGTTTTCAAGTCGTTTGGATAGGTTCTCCGGATCGCGCACGTGGTGGTAAACGTCAAAACCCTCCGAGGCGTTCGAGCTACTCCAAAAGTGTAACTTTATCTCGATGCATGCATGCTATTCCCAAAACACAAACACGCGGGCACAAGCGCGATGCACTTTTACACAGTTGCTTTTTATATTAAAAATCTAGATGACTGTTTTTGAATTTAAAATTGGCTGTCAGACCAGTAATTGCTCATTATATGGGTTAGGGGTCCACTTTATACGAGAATCCACTGGCTGCGCGCTCGCAGGTCCAAATTTTGATTTTGTTCACAGCAAGGGGTCCGAGGATTTATTTCCCACTCTCGCGTAAATGATATGCAGCGGGACCCTTTCAATTACTTTTAAAACGCACGCGGGACGCCGCGCGCAGACACCGCCGCTCCTCTGCTGCTGGAAATGAGGCTCCGAGTAGCAGCTGAAATTTTGAAGTGCGGGACGGTATTGGATGAAATCACATAAACTGCAAAAAAGCAAGTGTAATGGTGCATAATTGGTTCTCTAATAGCATTACACAAGGATAATAGCCTGTTATGGCCCCCTGCACTATTAAGTGCTTCCCTGGCGTAGAACGTTTATGATATTAAGAGGGGAATATAATGATATTTTAGTTATTAAATGCGTGTAATTAATTTATGCACCGCTGAAAATAAAGTTGGTATTATGATCTCGTCAAAATGCATCGGAAACTGGGGGACGAGCTCTGTGTAACTTCCTGACATTTGTATTATTGTTCTGAACGGAGATATATTTAGACAGATCCAAGCTTTAGATTGGCTGATTTCTGCGGGGAGAGACGAGAGGGAGTGTTGCAGTAGTATATGTGCTTGCTCAAATGAATGTCATAAAGCGCTCGAGTCCTAAAAGCGCACGTGCGACGGAATAATTGCTGTTTTTCTCAGAAACTTTCAGTACCACGGCCAGCGACCGGAAAATGCTCGTGCACGAATACGTCCAACGTAAAAAAAAATCTTTTGTATTAATACGCTACAAATGAATAATTAAAAATATATTTATTTTTTGATCCTTTTTATTTACAACAAACAAACAAAACGTTTAAAGTGAGGTTGGAAATCGAGTGCTTGCACAGGGTTTCTACAAGTTTCATCGTCTTTTTAAGTCCCTTTTTTAAGACCATCAAGATTGAAATTTAAGACTTAAAGGGCTAAACGTTCTGGATTGTTTTAAATGGCCTAGCATAATTTTTTTATTCACTTTCTCTGTTTAAAAAAACAAACAAAAACAAATTCTAGTTATTTCTAAGCCACATATTTTAAATAAAATTTCAATAACATTTAATTCTGGAAGGGCATCCACTGCGTAAAAACTTGCTGAATAAGTTGGCGGTTCATTCCGCTGTGGTGACCCCGGATTAATAAAGGGACTAAGCCGACAAGAAAATGAATAAATGAATTTCAAAACAATCAGACCCTAGTTTTATACATACTAATAAAAAAACTCTTAAAAAAAACTTCAATAAACTAAATGTGTGCACAACAAACTGGCATAATATTAATTATTAATAGAGTTTTATGAAAGTGTTTTTGAGATATATTGTCGATGTTTGAATGTGTGTTGTATTGATTACATAAACAAAGGAAAATTAATGTTTAAAATGATTTAAGATATACAAGACAATTCAGTGAAAAGTCTGTGAATGTAAGACTTTTTAAAGCATAAAATTTAGACATTAAGACATTTTAAGACTTTTTTTTTTAGTTCCAACAGGCACCCTGTACATATAAAGCTTTCAAATATTATTTTCACAAAACTTGTAAAAGAAAAATTTTTTTGGTTAGTAAAGAATATTTCAGTAATCTAAATTACTTTTTTTACTTACATATTTTTGTGCACATAGAAAATTTATAAATAATCTTTATTTATAATAATAATATATATATATATATATATATATATATATATATATAGTTATTGAAATGCATTTTAAATATAGTTCCTTAAAATATTCATTTACTGTAGTTTGACAAGAAAAGCAGACAAAAGCAATAACTAAAAATGTGATATATTTGTGAAAATGTTTTTATTGCTTATGTTCTAACTCACACTGACAAACAAACAATATAGGACACACAGCAATTTGACGCAGTAACTTACAATGAACCCTGGTCCCTGAGAGCCCAAGGCACTGTGATTAATGTGCAACACAAAAATCATGTTTTTTTTTTTAAGGTAGTTCATCTTCCTGCTCATCATCCAGTGATGTATTCAATTTCCTAGATCATATTAATGAAACATACTAAGGAGTTGTTGTAAAGGATGATGTTTATTGTGTAACTTTTAATGAATACATTTAATTGTTCAAATGTACACAGTATTCCCCAAACAGCAGAGCTGGCTGCTTCGCACATCGCAATTACATTAAATCTCATTTGTTCTAAGTGAACAAATAGTAAGTGGAAGTTGAGGTAGATACTCTCAAGACATTAAATAATCTCATTTCAGATTTTAAATTCAAAACCATGGCAAATATCATGTAAACAAACTGGCACAAAGCACCGTTATAGGGTGAAAGCCCTACATAAATGTACATTTTCCATTATTGCCAAAAAAACAACAGTATTACAATATTATTCTAACAGTATTGTAATATATCTGGTCTCGCCAAAAGTACCCAAATAACACATTTACAAGTTCAAGTAATTTCCAGGAATTGTACAAAAACAAACAAAAGAGCAGCAAACAAAAAAAGGAAGACAACATGCATTTCTTTCATACAATATGAACATTTTACAACAGTTGGGCCAGTACAAACCTTTTTTGTACCTTTTCACAGCCAGCGGAGTTCTGGAAAGTTTATTGAAATGAACTGCATTTAACATTTTTGCACTAAATCACCTGCATTCCCAAGGGTGAGGTATACATTCTGATTGGAGTGTCTCGGTTAATAGCTTTTAATATGCTCCGTTTACCTGTAGTCAGCTTTAAGCTTCCACATCCCTTCCTTCCCAGGAAGCCTATGGAACTCACAGATATTATTCAGCAGTTCTCTGAACACTGGCATCTGTGTGGAAGTGAGCCTGGGAGTGAAATACTCCAGGATCTCCTTTGTGCTGGCCTGGCCGTCCACCTGAGCCTGGAAGGCCACAAAGTTCCTCAGGTCCACCAGAAGCTCGTCGTGTTCTGTAGGAGCTGCATTCACGGCAACAGACTGCGTACTTTCCTCTTCTTCATCCTCTTGACTCTGGGGTTTTTTGAGGTGGTTTCTAGCCCTCATTCGAGCGAGGAGAGAAGATGAGGAGAGAGATCCAGATTCATCCTCCGCTCCTTCACCGCTGAAGTGAGCAGCAGATCCTGGCTTCTTTACCACGGACTTCTTTACAATCTCTGCATCCTGTATTTAAAAAAAGAGAGCGTTTAATAACGGTTTATTATTCTTCAGGGGTTTGACAGGATATTGTTTCCATATAGATGTACCTTGCATTTCTCTGCTGATTTTGTCATTGTCCCAGAGGATTGAGAAAGAAGGGAGTTTTTCTTCTGGCCAAACCTTTTTCTAAGAAGAAAACAGATGTTTAAACAGTTGCACATTACTATTAATAAACTGTAGTGTTACTGTAGTTATAAACTAATTACTTCTAAAATCAGGAATTGCAGAATCTGCTTTCAAAATAAAATTTGATAAAATAATACAGAATGTCATAAATTTTGGATGAAAAAGAAATTAAAAAGAGTACTGTACACCTTAATACAAACTTGAAATATTGAATATTAATACTCAAATATAAAAAAAGTCTACACAATCTACACTTTTTCTTTTAAGTATTGTTTATTACACTGAAAGTTTCAAGGCTCTATTTTAACGATCTAGGAGCAAAGCCTAACGCTCAAGGCACAAAACCATTAAGGGCGTGTCTGAATCCACATTTGCTATCTTAAGGGCTCTGCTTATTCTCTTAATGAGTTATGGGTGTGTTCTGAGCATAACGTGCATTAAACTAATCAGAATCTCATCTCCCATTCCCTTTAAAAGCCAGTTGCGACGCATTTGCTATTTACATGGCGACTTTATAAGTGGAAAAACTAAATGGAAAATTCAGTTTCGTTAGCGAGAAAACAGTTAACCTGAGAATCTGCAGCGCAAGGATAAAAAATGAGCGTCCTCCATTCGGCCTCTTTATTTTCTCTTTCTCTTTACTTTTACTCCTTTACTTTCGTGGATAAGGAAACAGTGTTGTAAGCACTCAGCTGAAGACATTCATTAGCCTACATATTTAATATTGTTTGTTAAGCGCAAAGTTTTGTTTCAAAACTATTTCTAAAATCAGTTCTAATTTCCAGCAAGTTAACAAATTAATAATAAAGAAGTGTTGTCAAAAACTTTAAAGTTATATCCAAAACACGCATCCTTTTATGCCCCATATGGTGATGCATAGATCTCCAAAACCCGACAGGTGGACAAATCTAAACTTGTTTTTATTAAAACAAACATAAAAATGCATATAATAAATAATACTAATAATAACATTATATAAATGCAAATTGTCATGAATAAACTGAAAAAAGCTCCTGGACATGAAAAGGCATAGAGGTACATGGCTTCCGCTACATTCATTCTTCCATGGCTTTGCGCCACGCCAAAATTCATCCCGCCACGCCTACATTACAGCTTCTCATTCAAAAATTTTTATTTTTTTAATAGCGGGTGATAATCGCACCACAACGTATTAAAGGGTAAGTGAATTATAGCAGCGCAAACTTTTCTGTAACCGTAGTAAGTGCTGTGCGTCTTTTGTTTAACCCTTTAAGGTGACTGGCTGACTGACTAACTGGCTGACAGGTGCATGATGTGTGAGGCCAGCAAACATGACGTATAGCCGTTTCACTTTACTTCAGGACACATTAATGCTACTCTGTAGGTCTATTAGAGACATTCATAAACATTTCTAGCAAATCTAATAAATGCTAGAGACATACTTGTTACCTAAACCAATAAATCGCACTCAGCAGCGTTTGTTTGAGAGCGCACAAGAAGATCTGCGCTCTCATGTATTGGCTTAAATTTGAGGTGGCGTGCAAGAAGTTTTGTGCACGAGCAGAGGAAATCCGCAGGTAAGCACAGAGATTTCCATGCTCGTACATGTAGGTTATTACATAAATGCAATCTCGACTTCTAATACTGCGCTCACGACATTTGTCATTGAAATAACGCCACAGGTATTTGGTAGATCTGTGTAAATCCACAGATCCACAGCTAGAAAAAATCCTAGAGAAAACACTGAGGTAGTGTTTTTTTATATTAAATAATAATTTTTGTAAAATTTTAATCTTTTATTTTTTTCATATGTAAAGATAT